CCAGTGAATAAGAGCTCTCGATCGCTCAGTACTACTCCGATTCTTACATTTGAGCCGTCACACTTTACCTCGAATAGCTAATTGAAGTATGGTAAGGCCAATATTGGTGTCTGAATCACATTCTCCTTCACTGTATTGAAACTGGATTGAGCTGCATCTATCAACTGGAACTTGAGCTGTGATGTGCCTGAAGCTCTTGATGAATCAATGATGCCAGTCTCAAAAACACTTAACTAGGTAAAAGACTGGGGGTTGTCCAATTCATAATTGCCTCAATCTTTGCAGGATTCATCTTAATGCTTGCATTAGACACAATATAACTCAAAAAACATACATTTGCTATCAGGAAGTGGCACTTCTTTGAGATGCATATAATTTCTCTGACCGCAAAAGCTCGAAGATTTGTCCTCATGTGTTACAAGTGCTCCTCCTTTGATCTATTGTATACCATAATATTATCGAAGTACATCACTAAAAACTTCCCAATGTGAACCTAGAACACTTGCTTCATCAACCTATTGAGGTGCCTTAGTTAACCTAAAAGGCATGATTGTCCACTAATATTAGGTTTTGAAAGCAGTCTTCCGCTCATTTTCTGATCTCATCCGGATCTGGTGATATTTATTGCATAAGTCGGCCTTGGAAAAGATAATGGCTCTATATAACCGATCCAAGAGGTCATCCAGGGGAGATATAAGGAACTTGTATTTGATAGTGATCTTATTGATGACCCGACTATCAATGCACATCCTCCACAATCTGTCCTTCTTGGGTACCATCTAGGAGGGGACAACACACGAGCTAGTACACTCTCTCTGACCAAATCTCTCACAATGAGATCTTGTACCTGTCATTGTAATTCCTTGTACTCTGTATGTCTCAATTTATAGGCAAGCATGTTGGGCAATGTTGATCTGGGGATGAGATCTTTGGCATGTTGAATGACCCTCTATAATGGCAACCCCTCTAAAGGCTATTAGTCTTCACGTACTGAAAGTCACATAGCAGTGGCTATATGGGTTCTAGTATCTTAACCTCCTCCTTATTTCCCTCTAACAATACTAAATCCATTGCCAATGAAGCCTCTCATATGGACTACAAGAAGGCCCCTCTTGGGACTATCGTCTCTTCTGTGATGTGCACTCTCGCATCTGTGACGGGCAGAAGGACTGTGTCTTCCACCCTTAAATAAATAAGTGTTCTTGAACCCTTCGTGTTGGGCCTTGTGGTTAAATTGTCACGATCTCTCCAACAAAATATGACAAGCTAGGTATCACTTTGCACCACACCTGCTTTTGTAGCTGATCTCCGATCGAAAACTTAACCAAGCACTGTTGATCTGCGTATATCTAGTTTCCATTTTTCAATCAAGTAAGGGAGTAGGATTGTGAATTTTTTTTGTGTGGCCAATCTCTATTTCTTCACCATCAGAGTGGATATTACAATCTCAGAGCTCCCACCGTTAATAATCAGATTGTAGACATTTTCTTTCATGGTACACTTGGTGCGAAAATTCTATGCCTTAGCCACAAATGATCCTTCTCCTTCTCATTTTGCAGGACCCTGCTTATGGAAAGCATTTCTACCTCATCTCCCTGGAGTAAAAGCTCCTCCTCTTGGTCCTATGCTTCCTTCTCACTCACTTCTTTGATAACACCTTGATCAGTGAATGAAACAACTCGGCTCATGGGGCAGTTGGAAGTTGTGTTCGTAGCCATGGCACCTAAAGCATCTCATGGTAGGCACTGTATAGGGTGAATTGCTCTTTTCGAGTTTCTTTCTACTCAGATTTATCTTTTCACTTCTCTTTTCGGACTTTTCAACTCCTTCAGATGTACCCTTGTTGTCAGCTACAGTTGTAGGTGATTGTCTGAATGAGGGCGGTTGTCTGTTTTTTCTTTGTTGTTTTTCAACTTTCAAGGCTAAGGTTTGGAGATCTTTCAGTGACCAATCGGTTTGCAATTGCACAAAGTTGTTGATAGCTGACTTTAGGCTCTCCAGCTATAGGTTATGGTATATTTCTCAAACTCGATTAACTCACATTACATCTGCAACTGGTCAAACTTTGTCATAAACTCTTCATCGTGTTGGGCCTTGTGGTTGAACTGCCACGATCTCTCCAACAAAATATGACAAGCTTCCATAGGTATCACTTTGCACCACACCTGCTTTTGTAGCTGATCTCCGATCGAAAACTTAACCAAGCACTGTTGATCTGCGTATATCTAGTTTCCATTTTTCAATCAAGGGAGTAGGATTGTGAAATTTTTTTGTGTGGCCAATCTCTATTTCTTCACCATCAGAGTGGATATTACAATCTCAGAGCTCCCACCGTTAATAATCAGATTGTAGACATTTTCTTTCATGGTACACTTGGTGCGAAAATTCTATGCCTTAGCCACAAATGATCCTTCTCCTTCTCATTTTGCAGGACCCTGCTTATGGAAAGCATTTCTACCTCATCTCCCTGGAGTAAAAGCTCCTCCTCTTGGTCCTATGCTTCCTTCTCACTCACTTCTTTGATAACACCTTGATCAGTGAATGAAACAACTCGGCTCATGGGGCAGTTGGAAGTTGTGTTCGTAGCCATGGCACCTAAAGCATCTCATGGTAGGCACTGTATAGGGTGAATTGCTCTTTTCGAGTTTCTTTCTACTCAGATTTATCTTTTCACTTCTCTTTTCGGACTTTTCAACTCCTTCAGATGTACCCTTGTTGTCAGCTACAGTTGTAGGTGATTGTCTGAATGAGGGCGGTTGTCTGTTTTTTCTTTGTTGTTTTTCAACTTTCAAGGCTAAGGTTTGGAGATCTTTCAGTGACCAATCGGTTTGCAATTGCACAAAGTTGTTGATAGCTGGCTTTAGGCTCTCCAGATATCAGGTTATGGTATATTTCTCAAACTCGACTAACTCACATTTCATCTGCAACTGGTCAAACTTTGTCATAAACTCTTCCACTAATAGGTCCCCCTGTTGTAAGTTATGGAGCCTTAGAAACACATCTTGATTGTAATAAAGAGCTAAGTATTTTCTTTGCATCTCCTTCCTTTTTCTTTACCTCTACAAATTTTTCGACCAGAAGGAAGCACTCTTTTTCAATTTGATGGTGGCAAATTTCACTCTCGTCTTCTGAAGGAGATTCTATCGACTGGCTGCAACCATTCGATAAAATCATCTGTATCAATCCCTCCATCGAACTCCAGTAGATCTTTTTTTTTTTACTCTGATTCCCTTTGTCTTCCATACATCACCTCCTCTCATGACCTCTTCTGATAATGAATTATGAAGCGTCGTAGTTTGTCTTCTTCATTACTGAAGTTCTCTTTATGGAAAGGGTTCAGATTTTTGTCTCTTTCTCCTCTTCTACTCTCCATATCACGATCGAGGGTAATTTCCTCCTAGGCCCCGTCATCATTCTCCCCGAGTCTCTACTATATCTCTCGTTGTATCTCTTCTCGGGTAGGTTTAGACATGTGTCTCATTGGTGGAATAGCTAAGGTTTGGATTTGTAGGAGTGGAAGAAGTTATTTAGGATAGGAAAGAAAAATTTTGGTGCTGAGAGCTGTAGGAAGGTTAGAAATCCTAGGATATGACTAGGGTTAGACTAGTTCTGATACCAAATGATATCGGAGTTAACCAAAAACCGCAATGGAATAAAAATATTATTACTAAAATTCAAAAGTGTTACAAGTAAAGTCTTAAAAAATAGGAAAATAACAACACAAACATAAAAGACAACCTAGGGTGAGGAATGAAGGTGCTTAAACGACTGGATAACTAACAAGAGGTGGAGTGAGTGGGAGCAAGCCAAGAACTGGGATGGGAGCGGCTGGACAGCAATGGTGCGATGCAGGGAGGGCGGGCAGCAATCTGGAAGGAGCAAGGAGGAGAGGTAGCAGCAAGGCATGTTTGTAGGGAGGGAGGCATCAAGCTGGCGAGGGGGAAAAATAAAGGAAAGATGTGGAGTAAATCGCCACTTTGGAGCTGGATACAACCAAAGCACAATCGGTCCTTGGATACAGCCATTGCAAGGGAAAAGACGCTGATGACGGAAAAAGCTGAAGCAAAAATTGACCTGTCCAAAAAATAACATATAAATACTGCTAGGGTAGCTGTTGGTGAGGTTCTCGCAATTAGGAGGCAGTTCCAAATGAAGAAGTGATTGTGCGGTCCTCTCCTCCCTCGGGATGAAATGGTTCGTGCAAAACAACACTTGGTTCGAGAGTTGGGGCTGTCGTGTCTATTATTACCTGAAAAAATCTTCATGTTCTTGAAACACTTAAGCTCCACCTTTTTTGTGAACATTACGATGATAGTATATCTCAGCAGCTATCTAATTCAGAATGGAGTATTTGGAGTGTTTATTCTCTAGTGCATTAGAAATTTCATGTTCTTTGTACGAAAATGCGCTTAACTTAGAAGAAAATTTCACTACACTCCCTTGTCTTTTCATGGCTTCAGTTTGGACAGTACAAATGAATAATTTTATGATTTTCATGATCCATGCTATGCTTCATTATTTGTCTTATTTTTATCTCTTTATGTGCCGATTGTAGCTTTCTTTTTTATTGGTAATTTTTGGTAGTTGTTTTTGTTCCAATTAATATATTTTGCTTTTAACAAATGACCCACATTTATCCCATGGAAAATTGAAATGGGCATTAATTGCTTTCAGACTCGGCTTTTTGGCCATCCCAAGAAGATGAGTCGGATTTATCATTTTGAGCATCTAATGTTATTAGGAATTTAATTAACTACAAAATGTTTCATTAAATTCTAATGAAAAATTCTAATGCAATTCCGAACAATCCTGCTTAACATTCCAAATTTACTTTGTTTTGGATAGCATAACCAACTTATCCTCGAGACATTTAAATACTACATGGACAAATTAAGCATATTCATTTTTTTTCAATATTTATGAATCATCTAGAAAGATCTTTGGCTTTTGAGATCTTTTTTGTATGGTAAATTAAATACCTCTCTAGTCTCTTTTCACAGGGTTGGCTGTTCTCCTCCGATGCAGGATTCTGGAAGCCACCACAAATGAAGGTATGAAAGTTTCATATTTTCGTTCATTTCTTGAATTTATAATTCATCTTTAACATTTTTCTTATCCGATGATTTGGCGTTTTCACTTTATGGTTCCTATTTTTTTTCTTTCTCCTTAAGTTCTACATAAAGTGGTAAAACTTCTATGTTACTATTGGTCTAATTCTTTCCTTCTTAGTTTATTCACAAAATTCTATTTAACCATATCTTACTACTGCATCTTGCTATAAAAACCTGAATTCTGTAAGTATTTTTTTTTTAGCTAATTTTATGTTTAATAAGGGCTACCACCATAGTAGTTTATAAAATTTCTATTCCAATTATGAAATCATATTTTTAGTGCAAAACACTTCTAACATTGAATTCGCAGTAAAAATTCCTGATCATGTTCTTTTTTATCTTATTTATTCTTTAGATTCTGTTGTAGTTGATATTACATTCTTTAAATTTTCATGGTTTATACCTTCTTTAGTTGCATTTCTTTTCTTTTCTTTTTCTATGTATCATCTACATATGCTACTTGCCTTGTGCATTTATTATAGCGTATGTTGTCTATTTAGTTATATTGATAAAAGAACATACAAGAGACTTATCACTGCTTAACTACCAAGCATTTGCTAGCATCCCGGTCCATGTAAACTTGTCGTAGCCTCATATCTTATTTCCCTTTTTTGCAGGCTCTTGTACACTCTGTTCCAATTGGGAAAATGATTATCCTTGACTTATTTGCTGATGTAAAACCTATATGGAAAATATCATCGCAATTTTATGGTGTTCCATATGTCTGGTACTTTCTTATAGTATGTATGTTCATTATTGATCATATTATCATCCTTGTTACAGTTCTCATATCTGACCCGGTCTAGAAAGTGCATTTTTCTTAATACCAATTGGCTTTATTTTTCAGTTTTTTTTAATGCATAGCAATTATTTAGCTTAGCCAGAACCAAATTTTAAATTTTTTAGGCATTTATATATCATTATATGTCATTGTTCAGGTGCATGCTACACAACTTTGGTGGCAACATTGAAATGTATGGTATACTTGATGAAATTTCTTCTGGCCCCATTGATGCCCGGGTTAGCCAGAACTCAACCATGGTAAGTGACATGTATTTTAATGCAATCATCGTACTTGTTAGAGGCTGTGAAATGGAAATTGTTGATAACTTGAGGGAAAAATGTGGGTGAAAGCCTACTAATGACTTGCTCCTTTAAAAGAACCTTTTGCCTCTAAAGATGCATGTTGCGGGTTCATATAGATTGCACAACCCAGTTTGAAATTAGTGCTCAGCTTCTCTTTGTTAACACTTTACCAGTTGAGTTATGGTTTAGAGTGACTTTTTTTTGGCATGCGCATGAGATATTATGACAAACACCAATTTCATGTCTTACAGCTACCATGATTTACTTTGTCTAAAATTGTTGTTGTTCACCTAAATGTTCACAAGCAGAAGTAACTATAATATTGTTCCTCTTGAGAGGAGACCTATGTTGATGTCTTAAGTTTGGTGGCATCAAGGGGAAGTCTTAACATGTATTATGGGTCATCTCCCCATTAATCTAAAGTTGTCTACTCAATCAAGTTCATACTCAGTCAAAGCCTACAAAACACGGGCAATGTTTGCCAATTTCTATGAAATTAAGTCGAACTATATTTGCAGGGGGTCCACTATATAGAATGTGGTCAATATGTGTGTTCAAAGCATGCATTTCGAACCTACGAGGCCAGAAACAAGTAAGGAAGGCCAATTGCAAACAATAGTCTAGTTTTTGTTGATCATGTGGACGATGGCTTATTTGTACAAATGATGAGCTAATTGTTTGGATGATCTATATAGTCGGCTCATGCATGCAAAAATCTATTACATCCATATTCTATATATAGTTTTAAGTTTTATGTTAGATGTAATAAATGAAATTGTAATAATAATAATAATGAATAGACATGAAGGATAACCATCTCTTCGTTTCGACTTAAGAGTCGTATATCCCAGTTTGAATCAACAGAATATATATATATATATATATATAGAGAGAGAGAGAGAGAGAGAGAGAAGAATAGCTTTGTGCGTCCCCTTGCCGATCGGTAGAGGAGAAGGAAGAGCAAAGAAGAAAAAAGAGAAGGAATGGAAGAATTCATCACTTACGTGCATGGGAGGTTTTGGTGTTTGTGTAGCTGAAGGAGTAAACCTTAGCCGAGGGAAGAGAAAGAACCGTAGCTTCAAGAAGGAGCCTCACGTGTGATGTCACTATCATGTTGAACTCTAGTCGAAGGAAGACAACAGAAGGCAAGGGCACAACTTAGTGCGTGAAGTGGAGAGCTGGCCCTGACGAAACGCTAGTTGAGCAGCTCTTATGTGAAGAGGAAGTAGGTGGAAGGAAGATGACCTCTCGCATGTTGTGCTAGGTCGAGCCGAGATCTAAGGAACGAGGGGAAGACTTGTGCATATCGGCTTAGGGCAACTGATCAAGGCTTATTAAAGTGAGATTCATAATTTTTTTATTCAAGCATTATTATTTTGATAGCAAATTTTATGGATTAAATTAATTTTATAAGTATTAAGGTTAATGTTTATTATTTTATTTCAGAAATCTTAAATCAAGGAATTTAAGTTTTGGAGTTAGAAATTATTGTTTTCACACAAGAAAGAAAATTGTGAGTAAGGAGGGAGATCCATCAAAGAACTGATAAGGTAATTGTTGATAAGGTAATTGTTAATGTAGACTATTTATTTTGAGATTGGTAAAGATTGACGGTACAGTGAAGTGAAAGAATAAACTTTCGTAGGGGCCACTTAAAGGTAAAGATAAATATTTACTTTATTATATGTATTAACTTGATATTTTATTAAATAAAGATTTGTATTATTGCTTTAGATACTTTTATAGTTGCATGTTGCAAGTTAAAAGAATCATTAAAATAAATGAAATGAAATGATAATAAGGGAAAATGATTATTCAACTACTTTAAAATGAAGTATTTAAAGGAAATAAAATTTAAAGACTTAAGTCATTTAGGATTACTTCTAGATCGTACTGGTAGGGGATATAATACACACGTGCACGAAAAAGAAAATAAAAATGGTTAAGATATGTTTTTTTATGCAAAATTTTGAATGTAAATACAAGCACAATTTTTATGATACATTCGGTTTTGATGGTAATTCTAATGTCACTTCTTAAAAAGATTAAAAAGGGTGAATATTTAAATTGGAACGAGAAGGATTAAATTATAAATGAAAGCTTATAGTTTGATTTATCATTAAATTTCATTTTTTGGGACATTTATGTATAACATTTGCATATTAATTTAATACATAAAAAGATTTTAATTGCTCGCTAGGTTGTGTAATTTATTTTTGAAATTTAATGGTTTCTTTCAGGAAAGTATTATATTTATATAACGGATAGGCAAGTGATGATTTGCAGGAGGACTATTACACTTATAAGTATTATGTTGTGTTGTGGTTGTAGTTATTGTACTGCTTACTTCTGAGTGGTGATATTGTTATGCTGGTTTGAGATGTTTACTTGCAGACTAAGTATTTAATTTTTGACATTTTTATTTCTGTGTAATATATTTTGTAGTTTCTTTGTTACTGTTCTATAAATTGAAAGTTATGAAAATCAGTGGAAAGTAAAAGATATTATAATGCCGTCTGATCATAGTTTCTGACTTAGTTAAGGCTAAGCTATTAGACCGAGTCATGATATTAGACATCATGCATCTTAAGCCCTTTATCTACATCATATCTAATCTTTTCCTAGGATTTTTTGTCATGTCACATGACTGTTCATCCCTGCTTAGCATAAGTTGTAATAGAGGCGGGTATGGCTTGATTAAATATATCATTAACACCCATTTTGAAATTCTGCTCACCAAAACAAAGTGTGTAGTAAATCAAGAGGGATTTTGTGATTAATCCAAATACTTCATTCATACAACTATGGAGCTTTAATAAACATAGAAGTTTTTTTGCATAACATTAAACTTTCATTATATATATAACTTAGCTTATTTTATATCTTATTTCAAATTTATGCATCAAAACATAAGGTAGTTGATTTAAGATATGATCCTCACTCAACTCATTCATATCCTTACCTCCATTTGAAATAACAATTAAAGTACTTTTTAGTGAGCTTAGAAACTCAGCGAGATAAGTAATTATAAGCTAAAATTGAAACATTCATGTATTTAAACCAATATTTTATGATCATCATGAGCTGAACATGAGAACTTAAAATAAGGCAAACATGTCTAATGCATTTCTTGTAATCATTATAAAATGATCTTTCTTGAATAATTGGCAATATAATACATGAGTAAATCTTACGAAAAGTTTCAAGAGATGTTTAATGTTCGGTAGGTAGGTATGTATGTACGTACGTACGTACCTTGGTGGCAAATAAGAAGAAAAAAATAAAATTATTACATGATCAAAGATGAAATGAGAGATGCAACATCGGTTCCTACCAGCTCACTGCAAACTAGATGTTCAGACCCCAACTTATATACGACATGATCAAAGATGAAATGAGAGATGCAACATCGGTTCCTATCAGCTCAAGCTGAGGCCATATGAGAGACTCCAACAGAGTTCTCATTAGTGGTCCAAGAGTGTCGTTAATCTGAAGAACCAACATCAAACACCGGACAACCGAAGATAAGAGAAATTCATACTTTTTTCATATTTATAAACTCCTTCCTTACTTTCGCTTACTGAGGTCCATGTCAGAAATGGGGCATTTGTACCACGTCTAGAAGATTTTATAGAGTTCTTCAGATATTATATTCAATTCAGCAGTGCACCTACCATCAGGTGTCCATATAGGAGGGATGAACCACACGTTTGAAAGTATCTTAAGAGCTTGAGGGGGAAGAAAAATTTTTAATGGGATTCAAATCCTATTAGTGAAGAAGTTTTCTCTCTTAAGTGATTTCTAGTGAGAGTGGTGCGGCCTGCCACATATTTGATCCCATATTTGACTTCTCCTCGCATACTTATTTATCAACTACATTTTACTGAGTACGAGAAGTGGAAGAATCATGTTTCAGACTTGAGGGCTTGACAGCTACATTACGGGAACCTACATCTACACGCAACTCTAGCTCAGGATATGTCAAATGAGGATTCATATTTATTCAATCAAGATATGTTGTGGAATGTCAGCGCTTAAAATAATTACTTTTTAGGAGATTAAGTCATTCCCGATACCTTCAGTGAGGCCGACCTGACTACTATGAGGAAACAAAAGCTTTAGCAGACAAGGGTCAGAGCTCCTTCGACCTCGGGAGATTGATGTGGGGGTGCCCAAATCGGCGTGAACGCGACAAATGTCGAACGCAATCGTTCCTGCCTTACCCATATAAGGACTTTGAAAATCAATTAACCAGGTCGCCTTTTTTATAGAACAAAGTTGTAAATCTCACTTTACTGATCCCATCCTCTTCCTTACAAATATTGGAGTTGACGAGTCAAGTAAATTTAATAATAATGTCCATATCATAAATATAAGAATTTGCAAGTCCAATCCTCTTTGTTAGGACTAAAGTTGACTCGATTAATTTCTAAAAGATATTAAAATTATTGAACATTTTTTCCATTCATAGTTTTGTTGATTGAAAATCTAAACTGGATGGGTTAATTTCAATCCAACATTCGATCTAAGTTTTCAAGTCAACACTCAGGTTAAATTAATCACTTAAAAGTTTAAAGCAAAACTCATCTACTCTTCGCAATAGTTTGTTAAGGGTAACAAACTTCTGACTGACTTTAGCTTCAAATAATGAATTTTATATTAAGTGTACCCTTATATTGATAATAAAAAAAATTGCATGGCAATAAGAATGTGGTTTGAGTCTTCTATCTGCATGATTTTGCCATCAAATGACACTACAAATAGTGGTTATAGTAGTGGTTATAATCGGGGCTCTTTGATCGGGTGGTTGTGTCAAATGCACCATTATATTATAGTGGTTATAATCGGAGCTCTTTGATCGGGTGGTTTCAGAGCTCACTGATCGGGTGGTTGTGTCAAATGCACCATTATATTACGGTCACGGCTGTAGCTTGCAACGGTCACGGCTGTAGCCC